ATTGAATTCAGAATACCTGAATATTATAAAAATAGAAAAATACATTTGTGTTTAGTGATAGAGTTAGCATGACTTCTCTGTTTCTCTAAATTTTATCCATAATTCCAAGTATAATTTATGCTTCCCTTTCAACTGCCACCATCAGTAGATTTTCAATCATCATAGTCCTCTCCTTTCAGTAACCCTATGCTGTTTAATAAATTTTTTTTCTACAAGGTAGCCATTTGATAATTTATTTAAAATCACAGAATAATGAAGATCTATGTCCTTAACAATTTCTTAGGAGGATGTTTTTGCTGCCTCAGATTCTAAATTTTTTAATGAAAAGTGACATCCCTCTTGCTTCTCTTTAAAATTATATAATACCAATCATACCTCTAAATACAAACTTCTTCAATTGATGTTTGTGGACAGAAAAGAAGCAAAATAAAATGTTAGGAACTTCCAGCAGGATTTATATGCTTACTGCTCTGAAGGTAGTTTAAGAAAAAAAAGAATAGCGAGGCACTGTGGCACATACCTGTAATCCCAGCTACTCTGGAGGCCAAGGCAGGAGGATCAAAAGTTTGAGGTCAACTTGTGCAACTTAGTAAGTCACTGTCTCAAAATTAAAAAGATACTCAGCTCAGTGGCTGGCTGAGTATCCCTGAAAAACAAACAAACATACAAACAAATAAAATAAGAAAATGGCATAATGTCTACCACATATGTATTCTCATTTAGTCTTACAGATGCCAGGTCATTACCATCTTCCCTGAGATCTGTGGACTTGCTAATGCACCAGATGAATTCTGAAATTGCATAACAACATTGAGGAAGCCTATTTCTTACTAACTACCATATACTTCTTTCTTCTATACCCCATGATACTTTCAAATTTAGGTCACATAATTCTTCTATCTATAAAACACTTCTGTAAGAGTCAAATAAACCAAAATAAGTAAAAAATGATATTTGATATAGCAAATATAGAGACCCAAGAACACAAAATAAAATGGCAGTGATGGGAGAGCAAACTTGACCTTGACCTAAATTCCAGCACAGAAAATACATCCAGGTTAGCCACTTGCAGACATGCAGCTATAAACTTGTAGCTCTTTGTATTGTAATGCAGACTAAGTAAGTACGGCCTGATTTCGGACTTAAAAGTTGGAAAGCAAAATGCCCTAGAAAATTTTTGATAAAATTTGTGGTTTTAGAAAATCACTTTGGTTGTAATGTGAAAAATAAGGAGGACCAAAATTAAGTGAGGGGTCAGCTAAAAAGCTATTGCAATACTTTTGGCTTGAAATGAGAGTAGCCTGTGTTAGATGGTGGCAGTGAGTAGAGATGGGCAAAGGAATACAGAGATCCCAGGAAGCAAAACTGATGGGCTTGCCTGTGAGGACCTGAGGAGAGGGAAGCCTCTAGGTTTCAGCTTGAAAAGCTCACCATTATCTACTCACTTGGAGGACACTAAAGTAAGACAGGTTTGTGTGAGAAGACCTGAGACTTTTCAAGATGACTTTCAGGTGTCTGAGAGGAGATGAATCCACAGCATCTTGTATCAACTCTTTTAGTAATTTGCATTCACTTTTGTCCCTATTAATCCATTTGCAGGGGGGGTAGGGGGGCAGCTGCGGGGGATTTAACTCAGGGACACTCAACCACTGAGCCACATCCCCAGTTCTATTTAGAGACAGGGTCTCAGTGAGTTGCTTAGCACCTTGATTTTGCTGAGGCTGGCTTTGAACTCACGATCCTCCTGCCTCAACCTCCTGAGCCACTGGGGTTCCAGGCATGTGCCACCACACCTGGGCTTTTAATCCATTTTTGACAGTGAAGCCAGAATCATCTTACAAATCACCCAATTTGATTTTAATACTTCTCCTCCTCCTGTTTAAAACCCTTAAATTACTTCCCACTGCATTTAAGATTAAACACACACACACACACACCCTAAATTCTACATATTTAGAACCCACAGTTGGTTTCCAACTGCTCAAAACATACAGACCTGTAGCTTCACCACAGCTCTGCATGATTCAGAGCATGATAACTCTCTATCTCTGCAGCGTTTCT